GCACGTGGGGACTATGAAAGAAAAGGATACGATCACTCCTCTTGCAAGGGGAAAACCAAACGGGGTACTCACGCAGGTACTGACGGAAGCGAGGCGGGAGGCAGAGGAAAGGCTAAGAGGAACGCAAGAAATGAAATTTACCATTTCCACTAATATCGAAGACGTACTGTTTAAAGGAAGAGTTCGCGTCAATGAAATGAAGCTGAACGACTTTCTTACGAGGGAACTGGACGGCAGGGGCATTGTGGACACCAATCGGGATGTCTTGCCGGAGGAGTTTTTCAAGGACCCCACGAAGTATATCCGTGATAAAGGAGCATTGGACGAAATACAGGCATCAGGTCATTATTTGAGTATGAAGCGAGCTGTAAAGGGTGAAGTGATCTTCGATGAGGATATACGCAGGCTTTGCGATAAGGGTGTCAGCAATCCACCGGGGCGGTCATTAGCTGCTGCGGAGGTAAAAGCAACTGTTCATAACTCCACTAAACATTTCTTGGATGCAGCTGCCGAGGAGGCGAGGGACCCAACGACGACGAGCGCACCGGAGAAACTGGAGGGATGCTACGAGTCTGTGCACAATGCGAGGTGGAGCCATGCGGTGGAACTTCCGGACGACGTGGAGCGGAAGAAAACGGGGACGGGAATGTGGGTGCATGAGGGGAAGCCAGAACAGTCATGGTCGTACAAGAAAGCTGACGACGCTACCGAAAAGAATGACGCTGTGCAGCAATTCGGTGCGGCACCTCCCGTGTTGATGGTGCTTGCCTCGGAGAAGGGATGGCCGTACTCGTGGAATACGATACAGGATCTTCCTAAGGACGTTTTTGTAAACTGTGAGGTGGATCGAGTGTGGCAGATCGTCAAGGGCGGTCTAACCGCGTGGCTCAGCCCTCACGGCGGGACCGACTTTAGGCCCGAGCGACGTGTGCTGATTGGGACGCCCGGGATCGGGAAATCGGTGGCTGCCGGCTCGTACCTCCTCTACCAGCTGCTGCACGACGATTTCGAGAAAATCCAAGTGGTAGTCCACTGTTTTGGTGGAGGAGACGCGTACGTGTCTGACAAGACCACCCGAGCGGTGACAAGATAGAGCGATGAGGACATGTGCATCTCTGAGTTGAGAAGTTTGAGGGGGCATGGGAGGAATGTGTATATTATCTACGATGTGGCAAAGGAGGGAACGCCGCCACCGAGACATTTTGCGCCTACTTCTGGATGGGGCATGATTGCGGTGTCATTCCCAAAGGTAACCAACTATGATGAGTGGGTGAAGCAACTACAAGCTGCGCGAATCATCGTGAATTGCCCCGACGAGATGGATGTGGAGGCGATGTGCGCCTGGATAGCGCGTGATGAGACTAAAGAGAAACAAGCGGAATACTGGAAAGAGGTCAAAAAACACATGTATCTTTTGGGACCGATTCCACGTCACGTCTTTGATGAGGAGGCGTTTACGGAACGCTGTGGAGCGGTGAAGTTTGCATTGCAATTGATCAACGAGGTAACTGTGAAGGAGCACTTTTCACGGGGAGGTGAGTCGCCATGGTATTCTGAGGATCCGTCCCACAAGCTTGTGAAGGTTGTTCGGGAAATATACGCAGGCGGTGTGATCCTTTTCAATGCACCGATATCTGATTGCCTCGAGGAACGGACATTGGAACGTTTCCCAAGTGTAACAAAATAAAATGGCTTTTTGAGGCTGATGTTGGCGTCGAAGGATAATATTTTGCCAATATTTTTTGGATGGTTTGCTTTGAGATCGTTCACGGAGAGTGCCTTTGTCAAGGTAATAGCGACGAAACTCACGGAGTTTGAGCCGCCAACAGGACGTCAAGCAAAGCCCTGCGTCTTGAAGTTGGCCCCTGAATTGCATCCCAAGGGAGATGAGGGTTTGCTGCCGAGTGAATATGAGAAAACGATCCGTAAAATAAAGTACGGGGTGCTGTAGAAACCGTGGGCCACAAACTTTCCGCTGGTGGACGCCTTTTTTTCTTGGAGTCCAATCCAATGACGGTGGTTGGGCTGCGGATGACTACGGCGGGTGGGCGCCACACCACCGCCAGCACTGTGAGGCAGTTCACTGAGTGCCTGGCGGCGTATTTTAATGGTTGGGAGGAGTTATCCCGAGACATGTCGTGGGAGATTATTTATGTGCAGCAGGCAGACGGCATGCCGATGAACGACTGGCAAAGATGTGATGTCGTCAACTCCGATAATGTGAGCGACGATTAAAAAGAGATTGCGGCGTTCTGGAGGGAAAAGGTGCGCCACTACCAAGTGTCAATATCATACAGAGACTTTAGAAGAGACGAAGCCCTCCGAAGTCTGCAAAAATAATAATAATAATAGGAAAATGGATTAGGAAATTGAAGGTGAACGAGACAGCTTGATTTGTGGTAAAAAATATTGTGGGACTTATGTATTTTTGGATGCTTGTGTCTGAGCATGCGGTGCGGGTGCACCAGCCCCATGCGGCAGCACCGCACACAAATGCCAAAATGTCCAACGCTATCGAACACAACAGTGACAGAAGAAATTAGGGAGGGAAAGGGGTTGCTTGGCTTCTGGTGAAAAACATTGGGTGAACCTTATATGGTATGTTGATTGTGTGTGCATACGAGGCGTAATTGGAGAATTGCCCCGGTATGAGAGAATCGTTGTGGCTGGCGGTGTCACGGCGTTTCCGCATTGTCCATTTCCTTCTATTGTGTTCGAAGGCCCATCACTAACAGAAGCATTTTTAAGGGATGGACGACGAATAATTTCTATTGAGGAAACAGTGCACTCCGTGTGACCGCGTGGACTGAGGCGCCGCGTCATGGATGGGTGAGGATCCGCTTCCGTGTGTGGCTCTTTGGGTGATTGCTCGCTCCGTGTGCGTTTTGTGCCGGCAGCGGGCTGTGGCCGTATCTCGTTGTCCGTGGGATGGAGCTTGGAGGCGGTGGCGGTGTGTCGCTTCTTGTTGTTGTCTATTGGTGGATGATTGCTGGCGGTGTGTGCGTTTGTTGTGTGGAGGGCCGAATCCTCTCACCCGCGGACTGACGGCACTGCGATGGTGTGTGTCTGTGAGGGCTGGTGTGGAGTTGCCGGCCAGGGCGAGGGCCGTGGCGGTGCTTTTCCCGCTTGTAATTTGTTTCTTCCGTGTGCGTTGTGCTGCTTCTTGCTTTTTTCCCTCTTACCCTTTTCTCCTGTGTTCCTGCGTGGAGTGGCCGCATGCTCACGGGCCATGTGGATTGTGAGTGCCTCTTGACGGCATCCATCTCCCTCTCTCTCTCCGCCTGTCTGTCTGTCATTCCCTGTTGGGTGTGGCGTGTTGCACCGCGTGAGGGCTGGCCCGCACACACCGACGGCCCGCCGTGACTTGCCGTGTTGCTGCTCTTTTCTGTGGGCGATGGTTCTCCGTGCCGTTCCTTCCGGATTGTCTCGTGCCCCACTCTCTGCGTGGGTGCTCTGCTCTGCTCCTCACTGACCTTTCTGGTGTATTGCCGCTGTTGCTGCTGTACTCTCCACTTCTTGAACACAGACACACTAGGAAGGAAAGAAAGAAAACAAGCGCTAATCGCTACTGTGAAATTCGAAGTCTCTGAAAGGACCAACAACACACACATCGCCCACGCACACACACATATTTATATGCTCTCACGTGCTGCTGCAGTGAAGGCACCCCGCACACACAACCGTCGCCGTGTGACCGGATCCAGCGGAAGGAGGAGGGAAGGAGGAGAGAGTGAGCCGCAGAGGCCCAACATGTCCCGGCGTGTGTTTAATTCCGCGGTGCTGCTCCTACTTGTCTTGTTGATGTGTTGTGGTGGAGCTGCGACCGCTGAGGTGGGAAGTAATGCTGTTGCTTCAACTCCTTCTGGGTCGACATTGACTGGTGTCATTGCTGGAGAGGGGAGCACTTCAGGGGGTGTTGAGGGGCTGCAACGGGTCGATCTATTTGTGCCGCAGACGACGCAGGTGCTGCCGAAGAAGGGGACTGAATCAGGTCGGAGGGATTCATTTGTTTCACCCTCTCTTGTCAGTGCTGGCGGAGTAATTGCTGCTTTTGCCGAAGGTCACATAAATGCCAAACCCCCCCATAACGAATCAACTAAGCCGTCTTCTGATGTTGTTGCGGAGTACATCGACTCTGCGTGGGAATGGCCCACTCTTGTTGAAAAGGTCGTTAAAGGAACACGGAGTGCACACACTGTGCTTGGCAAAGCGGAGGGAAAGGGGGGTTTGGATGTTGTGCGCCACCCCACAACAACGATGAAGGGCAATAAGGTGTTTCTTCTTGTGGGAAGCACTGCCTTGTCCCCTGTAAATGGGAGTTGGAAAGAAGGCAGCCTGGAACTAAAACTGGTTGTTGGTGAGGTCACGAAGCCTTCTGCGGGCGGCGAGCCGAGTGAGTGGATCAAATGGGACGAAGTTCAATCGCCGGTGCAGCAGACTACTTTAGCTGCTCACAAAGGCAAATTGACGGAGTTTATTGCTTCTGGTGGCTCAGGTGTTCTGATGGAGGATGGCACGATTGTGTTTTCTCTGATGGCGATGAATGAAAAAAATGAAGTTGACGTTTACTCCATGATTATTTACTCGAAGGACAACGGCAGTACCTGGTCGCTCTCTAAGGGCATGTCCCCTGCGAAATGCGGTTCACCCCGCATCACCGAGTGGGAGGGATCACTTCTCATGATTGTTGACTGCGAGAGCAGCCAGAGGGTGTACGAGTCGCGTGACATGGGGACAACGTGGACGGAGGCCATCGGGACGCTTCCAGGCGTGTGGGTCAACTCAGGATCGGAAGCCTCTCAGGATTCAAGCCTGCATGTGGATGCTCTCATCACCGCGACCATTGGGAAAAGGAAGGTCATGCTGTACACACAGAGAGGGTACGCCACGGAGGGAAAAC